GGGGAGGCTTCAACAGCCACTATTTTTAAAAAGGCACAAGATTAGACCTCAAAGACATTTTGATATTAAATGTGTTTTATGGTTCCCTATGAAAACTAAAAAATTTCTCCTAAGCTTTGTTTTCTGGGAGCCGGTAAGTCTCTCAGTACAGTGACTGAGAATGCTGCTCTGCTGCAACCTCTTACCTCTGCGCACTTATGGATGGTGTCAGGCCCAACTCCTCCATCCACTTCTATATCCAAGGAGGGAAACTGTGTCCTCAGCCACTGAACCTGGGCAACCAGATAAAAATGTGGGCACTGAGCTGCCACCCCACAGCTTCTTATACATTTAGACAAGGTGTATCTATTTTACCACCATACCCCCTACTGTTAATTAGCTTCTAGCTCAATAAATAATGAAAGAGAAACATACTTTACCTTTGGCATCATGTCTTCCATAAATTTCTGTCCTCCGAACCCAGGTTCTACTGTCATCACCAAAGCCATGTCTATCTGATTGGCCCAAGGTGCTAAGTGTTCAACTGTAGTGCCAGGCTTGATGGCCAAGCCAACCTGCAGGAAGGGAAGCCAAATCTAAGTGCACCTTTATGATTAGTGCACCTCAGAGCAAGACTGGCCTGAGCTCAGTACACATTCCTAGCAAAGTAATGACATGACTGTGTAATGGCAGGAAGAACAGGCTTCTTTATTTAAAAATGCCACATTTTCTTCACTAAAATTGAAGACTGACTTCATGCACAGTGTGTTAGGGCTGCATCTGCCAATCCTAGACCACCTGAAGGGTGGAAGGGACCTACAAGGCTCATCAGGGCAAATTCCTGGCCCTGCACAGACACCGACCCTGCACAATTCCTACCCTGTACCTGAGAGCAGTGTCAAAATGCTTCTGGAGCTCCGGCAGCCTTGGGGCTGTGACCATTCCCTGGGGAGCCTGTCCAGTGCCCCACCACCGTCTGGGGAAATAACCTTTTCCTGATCCCCAGCCCAAACCTTCTCTGATACGGCCGCAGGTCGTTCCCTCGGGTCCTGTCACTGGTCACCACAGAGAACCTGCCCGCAAGGCAGCTGTGAGCTAAGCACAGCACAGTGTGTACTCCCCTCACCTTCATGCCGTTCTCCCGAATGTCCTTTATCAGCGCCCCGGGATTGTCCGTCGCTTCTAGATGGAAGGTGTACTGGTTTGCACCAGCGACCGCCATGGGCTTCACCCACTGCTCTGGCGCGGCCACCATCATGTGCATGTCTGGAAGAGGAGAGCGAGCGGGCAGTGGGGCCGGGTCCCGCTGCCGGAGGGGCAGCGCCCCGCAGCCCCCGGCCCTTACCGAAGAAGGGCTCCTGGCCCAGCCGCTTGCGCAGGCTCTCCACGACGGGGTGGCCGAAGGTGATGTTCGGGACGAAGTGTCTTGGGGCCGAAGAGAGAGACGCGCCCGCCCACAGGTTACCCCGCGCCGGCCGGGAGGAGCGGGCGGTTCTGCCCGCCCCCCGCGCCCCCGGCCCGGCCCGGCCCGGCCGCTCCCGCCCGTCCCCGGCGTTACCCGTCCATTACATCCAGGTGCAGGTAGTCGGCCCCGCAGTCCAGCATGCGGCTGCACTCGGCGCCCAGCGCCGCCAGGTCGCTGTTGAGGATAGACGGCCCGATCCGGCACCCCGACGCCATTGCCACCGCCGCGGCTCCTGCCGGGACGGAGGGAGGGCCGGCCTGGCGGAGGGAGGGCCGGGGCGGCGCCGCCGCCATCTCGGGGCCGCCGCTCCGCCCTCCCGGCCGCGCTGACGCGGCACAAGCGGCGGCACAGGCGGAGCCGGCCCGGCCGCACCCTCCGTCCCAAAGTGGCGGAAGTAATAACAGTAGCAATAACCTCGCGTAGGTGATTTTAAGCTCCCAAGGAAAGTGTATTTGTCCCTCCCAGTGCACTGTCCGCTGGCACAGCCCGTTGCCGCGGCCCGGGAGCAGATGGGTAAACATTAACAAGCGCTGTCGGAACCCCGGAAGAAAGCCGCGGATGGAAACCCTTGGGAGCGCGAGAGAACGACCGTGTTACGCAAGAGGCTCAAACACAGAACTCTGTACTTTGCCGTCGTTCCTTTGTATTTAATCCTCGGGACAACGTTTGCATAAAATGCTGAGGCAACGGGACCGACTGACACGTGGACAAGACAGGCACAGCCGGACATTGCTGAACACGACATGCGCTTAAGGCGTCTAACACTATGTAAAGCAGCATCGTATGTCTTCACAGCAGAAATAACACCAGTTCTGGTACAGAGATACTGGAGGAAAGCACAAACCAGCTAAAGTACTTTGTTTGCCACTCATCAGGACGGCATTAAATGAAACATGATATGATATGACAGTAAAACACGTGGGAAGTCAGGCTGACGGGCTGGCCTGTCTGTGCCACCTCTCAGCAATCATCCCACAAAACCAAAGCCAGCTGCCCAGCCACCTGGATAAAACTAAATTATAGATTATGTCATTTATAAGTTGCATTGTTTTCTAGTAGGGTAGACATTAAGAAGAGGCATTTTAGTTCTTGCTATGGCTTACTACTGTGGATTCACCTGTGACAGTGGAAACTTGAAAGTTACATACACTGAATTAAACGAAGTAAATCACAGTTATTTTGTCATCTCTAGAGTAGAGTACTGGGGGGGTAGGCTCTACTTTTCATTAAGGAAGATGCTTCCTCATTTTCTGCAGAAAAGGTCACTCTATAAAGTGCACCGTGAATTCTGGATGTGTTGTGTCCCAGCCATTTACTCGGCTCGTGTCTGAAGCTTTCCTCCCTCTCAGGCTGCCAGTGACCGAGCCTACTTTGGGACTTGAAAGTGAAGCTATGGGGGTTTTCCTCATTTGTGCGTCAGTGTTAATAATAAAACCTAACATCTGGAATTTAGCAATTCTTGGAGTGACCTCTGAGCTAGGAGCTAATCTAAAGCAGCATCCTACAGGTATCTGGCACTGGCTGCAGTGGAAATAAGGAAATAAGAAGCAGTACAGCATATTTTGATCAGCAGAGGACACAGTTTGTTATCTAGGACACCTGTCGGGACACTGTCACCTCTCTTAAAAGACCAGGTACCCTTTGGAGCTGCATTAGATCACCACCTGTACGTTACATAGCCCCATATATGTGGGGGATATAGGTGGTGCACTATAAAATAGTCGCTTTTTCAGCCCTGCTGTTCCCAAGACATGCTGAGATTCTCCTTCGCTCACCAACAGTGGTAGCAGAGCATGCTCAGCACCTGGGAGAAGAATGGCTTTTGCTCTCATGAGAGGTTTAATGTGAGTGAGTTCCCTGCCCAGACCGGTGTGCACAGCTCCTGTCAAATGTGAGCATTTGGCAAATGGCAGGCAGCACAGCCTGAGGCTCTGAGGGCTCCACAGGCTGGAACCTGCAGTGGGTGTGTGGTTATTGTCTCAGCCCCAGCAAAGCCTGTGTGCTGCACTCCAGCAGCAAGGCTGCCGTCTGTAGGGCAGTACTTCAGCAGCTGTTTGAGAGCCGCTGAGGAGAGCTGCACGTTCTTTCTTTGGAGATGGCTAGAAGGATATAATTTCCCTCCTTAGTAAGGCTGGTTTATGATGTGTGTGTCCAAATTGCAAGCCCTCAGGAGCCAAAGTGGTAATTAGCACATTTTAGATACTCTCAGGATGATCCAGAACATTTTCCTCTGCACAATAATGACATGATTATAAACTCCAGTTAGTCTAACATGAGCCAAAAAAGGCAGTGAATGATTCCCAAGGGTATCTTTGGGCATTGCTGATGATTCCGTGGTTTGTTTCACAGCTATTTTGCAGTTTGCCTGTCAGCAGCTAATGGCTAAATTCACATTTCAATGTAGTTCCATGATGCTGCAGCAAAACCCCTTAACTCAGCTGTGACTTCAGCTGATCCCCCCAGGGATCTCCACCTTCTATAAACGTTACATATATTTACCTAATACTTGCAGCTGTAAGCATTACAAACATAAAATGGAACCTTTCAAAATACAATCTCAGCATGCCAAAAATAGATTATTTCATCGAGTTTCTGCCCTGCAATATCCATCTTTTGTTTACAATGTACATATATATTTATATATAGAGTAACATGAAAATACCATTTATAAATATTTACTTTAAATCCCTCTACGTACATCCAACAGCATCAGGGGAGCAGTTGCTTGGGACCACAAGGTCCATGCATTCGAGATGCAGTTTCTTGGAGTTTTATTTTAAACTGTGGAGATGAATAGCTCAGTACATTAAAGCAGGACAGGGTGGGCTGTTTATCCCACCTGCAGACCACTCAGCCCCTGCCCCTGCTCTGTGTCTGTGCACAGCACATGCATTCCTACTGATGGTATATACTGTATTCAGTTCTACAGAGCAAGTATTTTTGTAGCACAAGGGCAATATTTTACAAAGTGGAATGGAACTAACAGACAAAAGTAAACTCAGGTAAAGTCTGCAATGCCAAAAAAAAATAAAAAATAAAAATCCAATTGCTTTACGGTGCTTATCATTGCTCCGCATGTTAGAAACAATGGCCCCAGGCTTGAGAAAATCAAGCTTCAGATTGGTACTTTCTATCAGTCTTTTCACTGTTTCCAAGGTGTAACAGCCTTGGCTTCAGCTGCTGTATAGCCCTCCTCCCAAAAACACTACAAAAATAGATCTTGGGCACAGTCTCACACAGTCCAACAGCCCATTACCCAGTGAGGCTGCTGATCACAGTACATGGCTGCCAGGTTAGGGCTCTATGGACCACCACAAGGGCTCTACACACCCCTATCCTGAGAATTCTGTACAAATTCTTGGTTCCTGTGGTCCTGCCCTGAACTGAAAAGAGATCTCACAAATAGAAATTTGCCAGTCTATAGCAACCAGCTGATAGCTATTTCCTGCTGTTGGATAATAAAGTGCTCTTGTCTTAATTAGTTACTCTTTAGCAGGGAACTCTAAGGAAAGGTACACATTTCCTTCCTCCTCCCCCTACTGTGCTTCCCCAAGAGTTAAACATGAGATTCGTCCAGATCAACATCCGTCTCCCCAAGCTCCACGTGCGTGAAGCTGAAGTGAGTAGCCAGCAAAGGGTTCTCCATCCCGTTGTCCTCACTGATGTGCAGGACAGTGTCCCCATGCTGCAGCAAGCTGGTGGTCTCCAGGCCAGCGTAGTCCTCGGTGTCAGAGAGCTGGGTGGGTGGAGTGCCCTGTGCTGTTGTTGGCCGGGACTCCAAGCCCTCCTCTTTTTCCTTCTCCTCCTCAGCAGAGAGTGCCTCACTCTGCAATTGAGGAGAGCTGGTGGTCAAGCTCAGAGAAAGCAGGAGGGAGAGGGAGGGAAAAAGGAAAGGAAGGTCTATGAAGTATTTTCTCATTCAGATATACATTTTACCATAAAGAACCAGGCACTTGCTGATTACAAATCCATTAAAATTATACCTAACAATATATTTTTGCTGGTGAATCAAATTTACATCAATGATCAGAAAGGGTATCTGATTTGAGTCATTAACACTGCCTCATTTCATCTTTTTTAGTGCAAGGCTTCAAACAGGGAGTAGGTTTACATTAGATATTAGGAAAAAATTCTTTATACTGAGGATAGTGAAGCACTGGAAAAGGTTTCCCAGAGAAGCAGTGACTGCCCCATCCCTGGAAGTGTTCAAGGCCAGTCTGGAAGGGGCTTGAAGCAACCTGGTCTAGTGGAAGCTGTCCCTGCACATGGCAGGGGATGGAATGAGTCCAAACCATTCTGTGATTCATTCTGTTATTCTGAAGAGAGAGATAATTCATTTGTTCATGGCAGAGGGCATAACCTCAAAAGACACTGGGTATCTAGGCACATAAAAGTGATCTCAATGTCACTGGTGTGTTGAAGGGATGACTGTGATTGTCCCTGCACCATCCTCAGTGGAGCCCAAGACAGAAAAATACTGGACAAGCAATTTCTTTTGCAACGTGATGCCTAAAAGTCCTGAGGCTTTGATGGATTCTTTCCTTAAGGAGGCATATCTCAGGGAGCAAGCTGTCAAAACCTGCTGAGGACAGCCTGCCTTGGTGATTAGGTCCAGAATGACACTGTAATTCACATTGGGATGGGAAGACAGAAAGGGAAGATGTAGGAAATCTATCTTCAAGTTAAGAATTGTTGCACAGATCTGGAAGGGAATGGCTTTACAGAAGCAGGGGGCTTGACAGCAAACAGCCTAAAGAACAGACACACAGCAGAGTTTGCTGTCTTTACTCTCCTGACAGCTTTCATCAGAGTGCTGCAATGCATCCAGTGCTTCCCCATGCTTGGGCCGGAGCAGTGGAGGGACACGGGCTGCAAACCCAGCAGTGACGTTACCTGGCTGTGAAGATCAGCTACGACGATGGCAGGTGAGGAGGTCAGCACAGGTTTGCTGGGGGGCTCCTGCTGGCTGCTGGCCTGGGGGCTGCTGTGGCTGCAGCCCAGCTGCTGTGCAGCCGGGTCCACGGCACAGGCTGCGGGGGCCTCGGGCTGGGCTTCGGTGAACGTCACCGACCGCTTCTGCTCCGCTGAAGGGTACAAAGCCCAGAAAACTGAGGGTTAAAATTGGGGAAGAAATACACAAGAAGAGAGACAATCCCTGCAAGTTTTACAACTAAGACAGGATTTGTGGTTCGTTCCATCTTTATATAAGCTGTCTAATCAGCATCTAATCTAAAAGTCTTTTACCCTGGGCTTCCACTACAGCCACAGCAAGACTCTGGGATCTCCTGAAGTCTAGCCAGCACACCTATCCTCATCATGGCTTGGTGAGAAAAATACCACCCGTAACATCTTTCCATTCCAGAAGAATACACTGAGTTGAACTCCCATGTGAGTTGGACATTTCTGCCCTCAAATAAAAAAGAAAAACTTTTGTGCAAAAAGACAGGAAAATTGCCTGAGGTTTTGCAGAAAATCTATGAAAAGAAAGTGCAGCAGACAGCCCCTCATTCCTGCAGACTAAGTCCACTAGCCAGGAATAACAGAAGAGCACAGAGTAAAGACAGCTAGACTAGAAACTTAACAGTAAAACTGATATTCCCATTCCTGCTCTTAATTATTTTTGGTTAACTTTTACGTTTAAAACATCTCCAGCAGTGATGCTGCCCCAGCACACTCCTGCTGAGCACCTAAAAAGCCAGAAAGCTCACAAGTAACCTTTGCTCTTCCAGATGTTTTCTCCAAAGCTCACTGCTCACTCCAGATGGTACAGAACACACCCACCTGCTCAGCTTGGCAGTGCTAACTCCTGGTAACATACAGCACAGACTGAAACAGCCCTACATTCATTTCTGTATACAGTCCTTAAAGCTCTGTACTACTAAGCTTAATGATGGGACATTTTCTTCTTTCTACTACTCTCAATAGCATCTTCCAAACTTGTACATCTGGAGATTTTGAATAAGGCATCCTGACTAGAGGAAACCCATCCCCTAAATTCTCCACAACTCTTGGAAACAAGATAATTCATTGTCCATGTCCTGTTTGACCTTGAAAACCTCTGGAGAAACCATCAAAGTGTTTTGAGGGGGTGGATTTCTGGTAGGATATCCATGTACTAGGGAAAAGTATAAAGCTGCTGGGACATCACTTTAATGTAAGCTACTAACAACCTACTATTCCTTTAAGAGATAAAAACACAGCATTTTCTGCTTTCCAGTGTGCTGGTTCTGGACATGCAGCACTGCCCTACCGCAGGGTTTTGGCTTTGGCTGGATGCTGCGCCGCGTGGTTGAAAGTCGAGCTCCGTGACGGCTCCGAGGTTCGGTTTGAGTTTTCTGACGTGACAGCAGCGGTCGTCGAAGCTAAACATTGGAAGAGAGAGTTAGGCTGGTCTATGTTCACATATTGCACAGCTTCTTCTCTGAAAGGAGAACAGATCATCACTGTCTGTACCTCTAGATGTCCACTCACTCTGCTTTTAGCAGATAGGTGTTTTAATGTTTCCATGGCTCACACATTTCCTTCGTATGAACTTCTGGGCTTTGTGCCTTTTCAGTTTCAGCCCTGAGTGTAATGCAGTGCAGGTACCAATAATAGCAAGAGGACGAGACTGAGGAATTTAAAACAAAGGGCATCTCCTTCCTTAGGGAATTGCCTGGCTTCACACCTACAATTTGTGCTACAGCTCCTGCTCAGTCAAGGGACTGCACTAGTATAGCAAAAATTAGGCAGAAGTGACACATTACATCCACACATTGTGTCCAAACAGCCACGTACAAGAAAAGCCAAATCAAATCAGCGAGCATGAGAGAAGGTTTGTTTACTGCCCGTGTCCTCACCTGCCGTAGCCCTCTCTTCCGCCCCAGGGGCTGCTGCAGAAGGAGGTTCTGCTGTCCTGGCTCGCTCTGCACACTTGCCACCCTGTTAGATGTTGACAGCATTAGGAGAAGCACAGAAGCATGATGCATAACTAGTAGGTGTCCTGGCAATTGGGACTAAAATAAATAAACAAACAAGAAATCGACCAACCACTAATGGCACAGTCACTTCAAAGAGCAGCACTATCTTTGAAGGATGGGAGGGGACATGTCTACTGGGTTGTGGCTTCCGGGGCTTGGGAAAGGGTGGGAGGTGGAGTCATGGCATTCAGGACTTGGCCACACACAGGTAGCATCCAAATATAAATAACTGCAGATTTCAGTTTTCAGTCATTGATTGATGCATCCCACTGAGCAGCACTCCCTTCTCTGCATCCTTTGCCACATCAGTGAAAGCAGGAACATCAGCTTCCTAGCTCAAAAGCCTTCTTGTTTGCTTTTCCTTTTTTCAAAGGACAATGTTGTAAAAGCTACTTTTTTTGCTTCCTAAATAAGAAGATTCCATGGCCTCATCACGATTTTGTCATCTGGTTTTAATTTCAGTTTAAGTCAACATACGCAAAGTGACAAAGGATCCATTCACATAATTGATGCATGAGTTATGTGAACAAGGCCCCACACTCAACACTTGCAGCCTCAAGTCTTTTTGTGACTAACAAACAGAAGAGACAAGCAAACAAAAATCAGAGAGAGAAACACAGCTTTTCCATTTTTAACATATTGGCACAAAATATCTGAAAACCTGCAGTAGAAGAAACTTTAGCAATAAAACAGACTCAGCTATGTACCATCTCACTACCATTCAACCTACTTAATATAAAAATACCACCCTCCCCTCATTTTTATCAAAGCACTGTATTCCTCCAAACACTGGACATTTAGCAGTCACAAAACACTTTAGCTGAGAGACTTATCACTACAATAGTCACTAACAGTTAAGACAGACTTCTTTTAACTCAGGCAGCTGCTTTATTTAAGCCAGACTGGAATCCACTGAGCAACGTGCTATTTAAACAACTTCCAGCTATAGCTGATATACACACTGTTGAAGATTCAGTATTGCAATCCACTTTGTCTTTGGCTTGCATTAATCTAAAGGAAAACAGTATTATTTTCTCTGGATACTTCCCTTGGATGTCCCTGGAATTTGTCGCTACCACCAAGAGAATTAAGGCTAATTAGCTGACCGCGCAGGGGTGGAGGAATAAGATAAACCTAGGGATATGGTCAGACAAGACATGGAGGATGACTATAGAGAGCCTTAAAAAGATTTGTCTTCTGAGCAGCTCATTCTTCACTTTGGCAGAAGTTACCAATTGTCCTAATAAGGTTTGGCGGAACAGAACATGGGAGGTTTCTTGCTCTGCTTTGGGCCTGTTAGGGTTTAGGATATTTCCTTTTTTTTTTTTCCTCTCATGGAATTTTGTCCTATCTGTCGCTAAGAAACCATACCAAGAGAAGTTTCCATGGGAAGGGTGCAGCTTGCCACTCTCTGAACTGGGGGTTTCTCTTGGAGGGGCAGAGATACCGTGAGAAATGGGCTGGGGGAAAATGGGGCTGCCGTAGCTCTTAGCTCTCTTGCTCTCTCGTCTTTGGAGGAGGATGGTTCACCTGCTGCTTGGGGAGGGAATTAATTCACTGCTGCTGCCAGAGCCCGGTCCTGCCCTGTTTTCTCCTACTCCGGCTGAGTGTTTGCTCATGAGAGCAGCCATTGAAGCGGCACCTTATTGGCACTCTCCCTCACTGGAAAGGACCCTTGGGTCAGGGTCCTCAGGGGAGGGACCCGGAGGTCTCCCCGGGGCTGCTGTGGAGGAGCCCGGCTGCCGCTGCCCAGCTCTGCCGCTTTCTCCCGCTGCCTCGGGCTTTTCTCTGCGCTCTGACCCACACCCCCTGCCTGCCGGGACACCCCGCGGCTGCTGCTAGAGCGGCAGAGTTTCTTTCAGCCCCGAGGTTGGTGCTGCAGCCCCTCCCGGCCGCGCAGCCTGGCCGCCATTGCCCGTGAGGGAGAGGCTGCGCGGCTCGGGCACAGCGCCCCCTGGCGGCGCGGGAATGCCGTGCCCCGCGCGGGGCCAGCAGCGCCCCCTGGCGGCCGTGAGCGGAACTGCGCTGAGGAGAAAGCGCCCGAGGGCCCCGAGAGAGAGCCAGGGGCTGTCACTGCCTTTGTGCTGCTGCTCGCCTTGTTACACCTACAGACACACAGCAGCAAAGAACGACTACTCCTCTTCCCACCTCTTTGCCTGAAAGACTCTTCAAAGTTATAATAATTCACAGGGAAGTGGGTCATATTCTTTGTTCCAGCCTCCCTTGGCAGACAACCGTCTTTCAAACCGAGACAGAGGCAAAGTCTGGTTACCTGATCTTAAAGTCTTTTTCCTTCCTCCTTTTCATTTAAACTAAAGCCAGACCTTATACTGAATCATATCCATATGTTTCTATCACTTCTACAGGGCAGACAGTGGGGCACTTCAAGGACAGAAGTTCCCACATCTTGGGACCCTGAAGCTGTTTATCTTTTGGTTGACAGACTACTGCCTAATAATCCTGGGCATGACCTCAGCAATCTCACCACAGCTGCACCTCGGAAAAAGAGGAAAAGCATCAGCAAGCTCAAAGCCCAAAAAATCAAGATATTTGATATTGAAATTTGAGTCCTTTTCTTCCTTAGACAGGTCTTCCAAATGAAATCATAGTCCTTGGAACATATATCCCAGCTTTTCCATAGGATATTGACATGCTTTACATACCAAACATCCTAAACACCACATAAACACCTGTCATGGGATAAGCAGAGCCCTTAGAGTTGCCTCCTGTTATTAGGAATATGTTCTTAGACATCAATTGCAGTACATATGACTGGTAAGTCCAAAAGCATCACATCATTCCTTATTAAAGCAAAGGAACTGCACTTAAATTAGTCTTTATATGATCCAGACCACTTAAAATTGACTGGTGAATTGCCTTAAGTCTTCTGTTTCTAGGATTACATAAAAACTTCTTCTTCTGAATTTCTAAAAGTTTTTACAGTGGTTACCAGTATGTGAATGAAGTAGGAATTAGCTGGAGAAGTTCTTGAAAACAAGCAGTCTACTGGGTTATCTTTGAGAATACTGTTACAATTTCTGAGGAAGGAAAGGTAACTCTTAGTTCTGTGAATAAGGAGACAGGTCTGTAGCAGAAAAGCTGCAATTATATTCAGTGTAAAACTCTTCACAGTGCTGAAACAAACTCACTCCACATGTGATACGAAAACACTTGAAAAAGTCATTAGATAATGGGTATACATGGACTGTGTGAGGGCACAGAGGCTGTACACGAGATAAAAACTATTCCCATGCACTAAAGACAAACAATAGGCAAGCAAAAAGAAAAGCTGGACTTCGTGTCTTCCAGCTAGAGTCTGCGATTTTCAGCCTGGCTTATAACATAAGTGAAATGAGTTAAGTGAGCTGGTGGATGTTTACTTCTGGTACTGAATCATTAACAAATTGGTATAATCTGGGATGATCTTACAGGCTAAAATTGCAGAGAGCTATTGCAGGGTGGACCTGAGAGCAGCTGAGTTTTGCAGAGCTGTCTGTGCACAACACAGTGCTGCTGTGGCTGTCTTTTTGCTCTCTATCCCCACATTTTTGAAGAAAGAAAGAGAGAGAGGATGATAAAGACCACAAATTTCAGATGAGTGACTGAATTTTCAGATATAAGTTTTCTCTTCATGAGGGCTTGTGAGAGTTTCTTTTCACATCAAAGAACAGAACTACCAATCTTATTTCCATTACAAGCATGGCAGGCAGGGGGTTAGCTCTGTGCAGCTTGCCCTCCCTCATTTTCTGTCTTTCCTTGATTACCACACCTGACCAGGAATATACCAGTTTTCTGCCAGCCTGTGGGACCCAGCCAAGGAACAGCAAACCAAGTTCCTTTTCAGCTGACAATATATTTCCCCCCTCCCACCATGGCAACGTGATCTATAAGAATAGTTTTTCTAAAGGACATAAGCCAGATTTATTGGGGAATAAGAAACAAGATTTTTTTTCCTGCCCAACACAAAGATGCTCTGTCACTCTCTGAATATCTCTGTCAGGGGTTTATTTGCACAGTAATGTTACTGCCATTATATAGGGCAGTGGTGAGCCAAAGATCAAACCAGGCCAAGTTTATGGATGCAGGTTGCCAGCACTACAAGGAATGACAGAAAATGCAATCACACAGTGGGGGCCAAAACAAACTTTGTTGGGTTGGCAAGTAAAAGAAGTGATGCTCAGGAATTGCAAGAAAACCAAACCTTGCAGCCAAAAAAAAAAAAAAAAAAAAAAAAAAAAAAAAAAAAGTAAGAAGAAAACAAAAAAACAAAACAAAGGAAGCAACGAGTTTCAATTTCCATTAAAGAGATGCACATGCTTACCACACCGTCATGGTAGAGCGTACACATTTTGTGTCCCTAGACATATGAATGAGAGGGTGGGTGGACAAAAGCAGTGGAGAATGGGTTAAATATATTGTATTTCCAGACACATCCCAGCCCAGTTAGCACTAAATCTGCTGCTGCAATTGCCCTGGAAATGTGGAGTCAATTTTTCCTGTTAGGAGCCATTAAACTAGGAGAGGCACAAACGTTACAGGGAAATGTGTTTGTGCAACTGATTTCCATTACAGTGGTTTCACCTTCTTCCTTTCTGATTTGGGAAAATATCCTGTTCTCTCAGATTATAACCACAACAGATCATGATGCTCCTCAGCCCTTTAGCCCAAGCTGTCTGCACTTCAGTGTTCTCCCTTTCCTGCCTACCCTGTTTTTCTTCAAGGCTGTATCTAATTGTTATAGAACAAAGAGAAACAGACTTTATTCTTTCTTGTATTTGTCACAATTTAATTTATTTAAGACTCCTACCTTCCATAAGGGTCTAGTCCCTAGTTAATATTGTTTATTTCTTTATCTCAGTTATGACTAAACACCAGCTTGTGCTTTTAGAAGGTGATCCTAAAAAGTTATCATCAAAAGTTATCAGCCAAAATCAGTTACATAAGAAAAACTCAAGCCTGCTTTATTCAGAACTAATGTTCTTGAATGTAAAACAAATTAACTCTGCCCTATAATCCCCACAGAACATATAAGCTTCTGCAACATCTGCTTTATTATTGCTGTCCTTTAGAGGAGAAATCCAATTTTCACATTTAACAATGCAGTTGAAACGTATTTTCCTCCTCACAGAGATCTAACCTAATCTTTTTAGACATATTTGCAGTGTCTTCATTCCTCCTTAGGGCTTTGCAGCCCTGGTGCCCGTCCTTAAGACATTAGTGTCTGCTCCTTGAAAGGGATAATAAACCTCAGCAGAACTGACTCCCAAGTGCATCTGCTGACCCATTTGCTTTAGGAGACCTCTGTATCATAGAGCAGAGTGGATGATGGTGTCCTGGAGGACATGTCCTGGTCCCTAAGGCAAATTTTGGGACAGGAATTAATAGGAACCCATTGTGAAACTGAATACATTTCAGGGTTCAAAATAAATCATTGTGTTTGAACACATTTATTGACTTTGGTGTCTCATAGTGCTCAGCCTCACCACTGTAATTAGGAGTGGCTACCCCCTACTTAACAAGATCAAAACATTTCAAAACCAACAGTGATGTAACCAAGTATCAGGTCATTATGGCCTTAGCTCAGATACAGACAGACCTTCCCCTTTATCCTCTTCATCAGCTGTAGTGAGTTTTTAGTGCTGCTAAAGGGACAACACAGAAGTTCCTCGATTGAATGATTTCACTTCTTTAGCTCAGATGACTATACAGTCCATCTTACTTTGTCAAAAATCCAAGTAACAGTACTCCTGCCCCAAGAAGCTGATGTTTTTTCCTAACCAATCATAGACCAATCTGCCAGAGCAGGGTTCACACACACGAAGGACATGTTGAATGGAATGAGCTTGGTGACAGCACTGATGATAAACTCTCCTTTTGTCAGCTGAGGAGAGTGAACAAACAAACACAGCAGCCTGTCCCCATCCCCAAAAGCCACTACCAACATCAAAACCCAGGCTAATGGAACAGAAACCATTTGCACAGACACCTCTCAACATATCCACAGCTTCCACTGGTGCAGGAATGAAATAGCAAGTTACCCTCCGTGTTGCCAGTGTATGGGGCCATGTTCTCCTGGGAGGAAATAGAGATGCTCTTGGGACTAGCAACCGTTCTCCAGCCTCAAGAGGATGGATTGAGAGGTGGAAGCACAGCAGGAGGGCAGGGAGAATGATTAACTTGACAGATCTGGGTGTTAAAAGTGCAGCCTTCTCCTTCTAAGTTCACTCCTGACCCATTAATGTTTGTTCCCCTGTCTATGGGTAATGAGGAACAGCTAGACCTGAACTCCAGCACTAACAGAGACATTTTAGATATGTATTTATGGTGTCCACCTGCAAGATTTCTAAGGTGTCATTTGAGAATTGAAAATGCTTTGCAAAATTAATGAGAAATATTGTAAAGCACCCACAAAACACTATATTCCACAGGACTCACCTTAATTAGTTTTACCAGCAAACGGTAAAAAACTCAGATTGATATTAAGTCTTTTGCGGTGACAGTATTGTGAGATGAATGAAAAAACAGATGTCTCCATTTTACATAAGCCTTCAGACTAATGCTTATAACAGGATACAGCTAATGCCTCGTGGATCCTCTTTCTCATGCCTTTCAAGCAATTGTTAAACAAGGGGAAAATCCCAAGGCCAGCCTGCTGCTTCATTCACTACAGTTTTTTCTTTCCCCTTCTCCTTAGCCTTCTCAAAGTTATTGGCAATCAAAGCTGAAAACTGAAGGTGGGTTGCTACATCTTTGACTTGCAGGCCTGAATATTGATGAGCCACAAGAGACAGAGATGGAGAGAGTGACAAAAGGTGAGGGGAAGAGACAGAAGGTTGGAAACAGCTCGTTTCCCAGCACACACACCGACAGACAGGTAGTGTTTACACTGTACCTAGAAAGGCTGCCCTCAGTGGCCAGGCTCGGGGAGTCATCGAGGACATTAGGTTCACTGCAGGAGGGGCAGGGAGATTAAGAATTTAGGGAAAGAAAATGCAAAAAAGCATGCGCTTGTCTCTGTTTTCAAGGGAAAAAAAAATAACGGAATAAAAAAGTAAAAAAAAAAAGGACGGTAACATTAATTGGTCTCACATGCTCAACGGCACATATATGACTCAGAGGAGCTGAAAGAACATCTGATAACAGGAGCAGTCTTTAGAGAGGAATTACACTGCATGAAGCCTTCCGCATCTCTGATGAGATACGGGGAGCTGAGAAGTTCAATAGGATGTGTTTCCAAAGGAAATAGGCAGGGAACTGTTTTCAAAACTATTTTGCTGCAGCATTTTGATTTATTTCAGTTCTATTTACTTTTGGCTTCACAGAAAGCTGTTTTCCTTCCCCATGAGCCACCTTCTTGAGGGAGGGCTGATCTACTGTGAGCTATAGACCACTCTCCTTCTGGTGCAACTCTAAGGACAAACATCTGGAAAACAAGGTCTCATAATGCAATGAAATTGTGAATAAACAGCTGGCAAGGGTCTTGGCAAAGGGACACAATTCCAATGCTTTTCTGCAATGCAGCCATTAGGCAGGAGCAGCCTACTCAGGCCACAGGAAAAACATGAAAGAAAGAAAGAAAGTCTGTTGGGTTACCAGCAGGAAGGCAGTAATAATATTAGCATTAATTAGAGTACATCTGTGAGGCAGTCTGAAAGCCCAGAGACTATCCATAACTCAAAGGGCATGATGTTGAGGACTATGATTATATTTGCTGAGCTGGTCCTTCCCCTACCCAGATGAAAGGTGATTCTCCTGTTATACCATACATTTAAATAGTAGAGAGTGAAGTTCTGTATTAATTAAAGTCTTTTTTTTTCACAGCATCACCATGATTTGGGACAGCACAAAGCAAACATTGCTCTCAGTCAGGTGTGACTCTTATGAAGTTTATGCATTGAAGACGGTAGTGAAAGATTGAGGAAAATGCAGTCTTGCATATTAATTTTTCAAGAAACAAAGGGACTGAATCAACTGAGTTCAAGAGTCAAATGAGTTCCTGTAAGTCCTTTTGTGAAAATTCCCAGATAAAAATCTGTGTAACTTTTCTCTTTTAAATCACTTCTCCTATCTCTGCTGGTAGGTACCACAGCTGTTAATTTTCCTTCATCTATCAAGGTTATTTCTTTAATTCCAGGCAAGAATGGGGGGAAACAATGTTGCTTGATTTTTCAGGGGTGGTCAAGACATAATGTAGAATATATTCATTAAAGGTTCAAAGGGAGTAAGATAAATTAATATGTCCATTGTCAGATATACTTGGATAACTATGTCAGGGACAAATAAAACAATAAACATTGTTTATTTAGAAAAAACAAAATCACGTTTAAATGCAAAACTTCTCTCTACATCTTCTAAAAATGTACATTTCCCAACAGGCTCTTTCTCACCGTTCCATGTCAACCAGAAATAAGGCATTCTAAGTAATTTATATCAACAAGTATTTCAGGTTTAAAACAGTATTAAATCCCATCTTTGAACACAGCATTTAGTTTCTGTGATGAGCTAGTTATTTTTCTAGGAAGGACAAAGAACACATGGAAGAAAACAAAGTAAATCAAACTGCCTCTGTCCCTCTTTCCCAGCTTCTCAACCCTCATAAACTGGTTATGGTCCCCTGGTTCAATGAATACTCCAAAACCACATTTCCTTTTGCTATTCAGTGGTAGCAGAGAAAAAGAATAACGTAGAGTGTTTCTGAAACTGTTTAAAAGGAAGGTTGCTGTGGATGACAGCTTGTTCATACAGACCCTACGCAACACAGATCACCCTGGAAAATCATTGTTTCCAACCCTGCACCCTTGCTCCAACACTATTCCAGGATTAATAAATTTAGCATCACTATGCTGGCACTAATTCCAGTATCCCACCTCTCTGCTGTGCCTGGGCCATTTCTGCTCTTGTTATTATGATGGGAAAGGTGAAAAGCCCATGTTTTTACCTTTGGCTGGGTAACATGCCCACCTCAGCCTGAGGTGCAGACATGCTGGAGAGATGGCTGGAGAAGCGCCTCCTCCCAATGGCACCCATAAGGTATGTTTCTTGTTCACTTACCACACTGGGCATGCTCAAGGAGTCATCTAGAAAGACAGAGAAAAAAAAACAGGAAAGGAGAGGAAACAAGCACCCAAACCCAACCTGCATCTCGACAGTTGTCAAGAGAGAGCAGGATGCCAAAGGTGTACACAGCATTCACTTACCAAGAGCCCGAGCCTGCAAATTGGAATATTCTATTAGATTTTACAGCCACAGTGCAGAAACACATAAACCTCTGCAGGATGAGGAACTTGACAAACATGGGGCAGGGATTTATGCATTCTTCCAGCTTAAATGGCTCTCAGGAAAAACTGTTTGCGGAATTCAGCTTCCACTAGGGATTAATTCCTGTGATTAATAAATTGCTTGTTAATATACAACGTTTCCAGCATAGAAGTTGTAATTGGACATTTTCCTGCTGTGAAATAAACTGCTGCTGTGATCTAGGAAAGCACTGTGACAAAACAGCCAAAATACCTGACAGCAAAATGCAGAACTGACACCCTTCAACACCCTTCAGGACATGCATTTTAAAATGTCACCAAAAATGTGGATAAATTGACTCAATTACATCATGCTGCAACAGAACTATGCAGACAGCTGGACTGCAATCAGGATTGCTTGAAATTTTCAGTGATGTTTCAAATTATATCAAGCATCCAGAAATAAATTATTTTATTGTGAGTTTTGCCACAACTTTTAATTAGAAGTAAAGAAAACAAAGGGGTAACCCACCCCTTTGTGCAATTTTCTCTCCTCTTTTTGACCTTTTTTTTGATTTTGATGTACTTAAATATTTTACAGCAGTGTTTATCCAAGGCAGGGCTGAGGAAATAATGCTGTAGTTCAGATAGGAAGATGGCACTTACTATTCCACGCAGTGGCTCAGAATTAATCTGAGGTTGAAACCATATTTTGCCACAGTGGGAAAATATCTGAACAATGTATAAGCACTACAGCTCTGGGTGGATTCTATAAAGTTTAGTGGTGAACCCAGCTAAAATAAAGTTGGGCTGAACCTGCCAAGTTTCAGGCTAACTGCTCTTTCCCAAAAGGCAATCCTGCTGTAACTGCATGCTCCTTTCTCTTGACCCCCCATTCTCACTCCTTCTGTTTGGTGCTTTTGCGGATCCTGCAGGAACAGGATCCCAACTACAGAGCCACAGCCCCTGCCCACTGTAATGACGGCCAAAGAGAGGCCTGGCTGCCAAATGCCTTGTCAGCACTGTGATGACTGCACATCAGCCCGGGTCTCGGGCACTAAAAACCTCCAGGTGCCCTTCCCTTTGCCCTGCCACAGCTCAGAAGGCAGTCAGAGTTATGTTACAGCCCAAACTTCAACACTATGTACCAGCCACGCCAGCTGCTCAACCTTGGGCTCCTGTGGGCTTTTTATTCACACTGGGAGAAGGGCAACTGGGCTGGCAACTGGGCCCCCCCTCCCAGACGGCCTCTGGACATCAAGAAAACATCTTCAGCATTCGGGGCTTAGTATCTGGCCACGTACTTTCTTCATCCTCCTCATCAGTGCGGCTCAGCGTGTCCTGCGAGGCCTGCTGGGAAGGCTCGCTGTCCTGCTCCCAGACCGTGCCAGTGCCGGTGTTGGAGCGAGACATGGTGGCCAGGCTCAGGCGGTAAGCAGACGTGGAGGTGCCCACAGTGCTGACAGATGTCTTCCCTTGGTAAGCTGCACAAGAGGGGGAAAACCAAACCCAAGTGGCTGATGGCACTGGAAATCAACAGCAAGCCAAGCATTCTTGTCATATTGGGCAGCTCTTTCTGCCTGGACTAGTGGGGCAGGGGGATCTTCCCTCTCTCTACAGCTTCCTGACAAGAGGGTGGAAACAGGCTGGAGTTGGCTTCTGCTGCCCTGCCACCAGCAACAGGACAAGAGGAAACGGCCTCAAGCTGCACCAGGGGAGGCTCAGGCTGGACAGGAGGAATTTCTTCATGGAAAAGGTTTCTAGGCATTAGAATGGGTTGCCCAGGGCAGTGGTGGTGTGAACAGCCCTGGAGGTGTTCAGGTAATGACTGGACTTGGGACTTGGTGCCATGGTCTAGTTGACAAGGTGGTGATCAGTCAAAGGCTGAACTTGATGATCTCAGAGGTCTTTTCCAACCTTAATGATTCTGTGGTACTGTGACAGGGGTGGCAGAGGTGAGAAAACGCTAGCAGCTGCCTTGCTCACCTCACCTTTCCAAAAGCTCTGTTTTACTTAGTCTGATTTTCACAACCTGTATTTTACAGATCAGCTGTTTTACAAATCAACATTTAGAAACAAGGCAAAATATTGCTAAGGAAAAAAGACTGAAGCATTTCCTTTTGAATTTGTTTTCCTAAGCATATAAACCACCTGCCATCTATGAGCAGCAGCTGCCATCTTGTGGCAACAGGGGTGGTTGTCGCTGGAGAAACGTCTCCCCTTCTGCAGGAGAGAATTCTGAAATGCCCCATCAGCTCAGGGATGCTGGTCTGGATGTCACAGTAGAGAAAAATCAGAGACCAGGAGAAAGGAGGAGGAAGACCTGCTAGTGCTGAACAGCCAGACCTTTCTGCACAAGGGGCTTTGGCTTTACGGTGGCATGGAGGGACTAACTGCACTGGGGTTGGGGCTGCACAAGCCAGCTGAGACAGAAAGGACAGCAAGAGGGGAATAGGACTCAGACTTGATGGAAAAATAGGTGCATTTCACAACTAACCTGGACTTCTGTTGTCTGTTCAGTGGCAAGGCTGAGCAAAAGCTCCAGGGGCAGGCTGGCAGGGTGTGTGTGCCCCATTCCCATCTTAGGTAGAGGCCAGGTCTGCCTCACAAGTTACTGTAGGGGCAAGCAGCTGTCCAGCCTGGGCTGATGGCCCTGAGCTCTCCTTACCAGACCCGCTGTGCACGGCCTCCTTCAGGATCTTCAGCTCGTTGTTGAACTCGGTGATGAGGGAGCTCTTGCAGAGTGGGCGCGGGATGAAGCGTCTCTCCAGCTGATCGGAGATGTGCTGTCGGGCAGTCAGCTCCTCATGGTTCTCAGCTGGCTGGGCCAGCAGCTGCAAAATTGGGATGCATTAGCATTGCAGGGAGATGGTGCCCAGGGTTGGGACTAGTCTCCAGACTAGCATGAGCCTGCAGCCAGCAGGCTTTGTAGTCAAGAGGTTTTGATTCCATCTATGAGGTTTCCACCTGTTTTTCAGGGTCAGTCTTATATTTGACTGAACAGAGATCAAAGCCTCAGTGGCGCAGGGTGCATGGAGATGAGGCCTCCCTTATGCTAAGGGAAGGAGGAAGGAGCTGTCTCATGACAGGACCATGAGGATAGCCTCATGATCCTGTCATGGGCCAGCTCCTTCCTCCATGACGATTTAATCTGTCCAAGAGACATTGTGGGCTAAATAAGGTAGAGTACCATGTGCTAGTCTACCTGGTAGCTGGCAAGGAGCTGTGATTAGCTTAAACTCCAGATGCCTTAGCCTAGCAGCTGCCTGTTCATCCACAAAAGTCCTGTCAGAACCTTCATCCAAGAGATGGAAAGGGGAGTGGTCCTTCCTGGCTGTTAGCTGTGTTGCCCAGCTTTATGCAGGAGAGAGATTAATAGAAGATTTCTGACAACACCCTCCCAGGTTCAGCACGTCCACACTCCTTCCAAGCGCTTTGAATGTCTTCACTGTAGAATTAAATCCACATGCACTTCCCCATCCAGAGGAACTAAGACTAGCTGTACTCCATGGATCAGAGCTCCTGGATGACTGCCATACTCTTTAGTTTTGGCTAGAAAAAAGCTCTGCGAGTTCGTTTCAAAGCATTTTTAGGCCTACTAACTTCTGAAAAGTCACTCACTACATATAGTTCTTCCAGAAGTGCCTTTCCTCTGTTCTCAGCTGGGGAATAAGGGCTACCTCGCCTCCAGGGAGTGACAGATCAGGAGCCAAAGCAACTGTTACCTTGCACTGGATGAAGGGCCGAAGGAGCACAAAGATAGGGATCCGTGTTCGAACGATAAAGTCGAGGAAATCCCACAGGGCCAGCCCTCCCACCTTCCGCAGGGCCATCTCTTTGACTTGCAGGCTCAGCCAGTACCACTGGCTGTCCAGCTGGCGTTCAAAGCAAACAAGGATCACCTTCAGGGCTACAGGGGAACACACAGCAGCAAAGGGCAGTTAGAGATGGTACCGGTGTCCCTCACAAGCACTGGGGGAAGGATCGGGGGGCCACAGCGAGCACAAACCTACACAGGCAAGCTTTGCATGTACGTGTGCACATGCACACACCTCAGAGTCACAGCTGTCTTTTCTATCGGTCTCCAAACATGGTAGGGAAGGAACAACCAGCCTTCTAGTAGGAAAGGCCTCAGGATCAGGACTGGCAGTCCCATTTCAAGAGAAATTTTTCTACTTCATACCTAAACTCCTCTGTGTTTTCTTGCTCTGGCATTCCCTCTCTCTTCCCTGCAGAGCTCTTTTGTCTTCTCACAATCAGATATTTTGAAAGCAGCTCAGAGTAGGAATACAGCCCTGGCTGATGAGACAACCTCAAAAATCTTGACCAAGCATATCCACACAGAGTCACCCAGTGAGCACAATAATCTGCCAATGATTTATAGGGTGATGACAAGAACCTTTCTAGCAGTGCAGCTGCATGAGTCATGGCCACACTGCAATCTAAATACAAATATGGTCCAGTAAGCCAAGGGCAGTAATTCACCAGAGCATGGCATTATAAACGGGGATGAACAGCAATGAAGTTCAAAAAAATGCTCTGCATTAAAGTGGGCAGTGGTTAACACTTGGTTAACACAGGAGATACAAGGAGTCTCCTCCTTTCTGTGCTCCCCTGGTCTGGTAAAAAACAGCAAGGCCTGGGAATTGTTGGGGGTTAACTACCCTTCCCCCCCCCCCCCCTTAATGGG